AAAAAAAAAAAAAAAAAAAAATATAATTCTTAAACTTTGCGCAAAACTCGCGAAAATTCAGCAAAGTTTCATGAAAATTTTCAACTTTTTAATCAGTTTTTATAGAATTTTTTTGAGTATGCAAGTTTGTAGCCCAAACAATGTTATTACAATGAAGCGCAAGTTTTAAGTAGCTAGGAACTATCGTTGATTTTTGGCACTTTTTTCACGCAGTCTCTTCCATACAAAAAATCTTTTCGAAAATACTATATGTATGGAAAAAGTGCAAAATACCTTCAACAAAAAAGATTCTCAAAAATCAACGCGATTTTTTACTAACTCCGAACTTGCATTGTTTTACTAGAATTTAATGGGCTGCAAAACTGCATGCTCAAAAAAAATTTTATCAAAAAGTTGAAAATTTTGATGAAAATTTGCTGAATTTTCGCGAGTTTTGCACAAAGTTTAGGAATTATATTTTTATGTTTTTTGTTTTTTGTGGAATGAACCATCATAATAAAATTAAAAGTTGTTGCATATATTGTGAAAAATTTGCTATGCCAAAACTTTGTTCCGGCAGTGTAGGTATTTTTTTTACTACGCTAACAAAATGTTTCGAGAGAATACATATTACTCAACTTAGAAGAAGACTTTATGCACACTTTTAATTTTCAATGCCACACTTAATGCTTATGCGAAATTGCTTTTTTTTCTTTTTAAATATTCGATTTGATCTCGAAATGCTTACAGATGTAGCGATTAAGCTCACACTGTGATCATAATTCAATGACATTGTAAACAGCCATTACATTATAAAAATAACATACATATTTATGTACACAAACTTGATGCCACGGCTAGCGATTCTTATACTCAGCAGTTGTATAGATGAACACACTTAAAGTATACCCGTACATAGTACATTTGCATGCATTTAAAAATAGCATCCCTACAAGGCATTGCTGAGCACTTTAGGCAAAAATTCTAACACATTTACAATGATTTCATTAGTCCCGGGAATTTGGAGAAATCCAAAATTTAAATTTCTTGATTTCTTATTTTTAGGATAATTTCCAAAATTTTAAAAACTATCGCTATCTGGGAGATTCCTTTAAATTTTGGTAAAATGCGAATATTTTGAAATATATAAAAATTATTGAGATTTTAGAAATTTTTACATTTTCCCAAATTTTGAGAATTATTTATTCTTCAATCCATCCCAAAATCTAGAGTTGTGAAATATCACAAATTGTTTCAAAATTCGTATGTTCATGGTACTTGTGTATGAAACCTAGAAAATTCTTAGAATTCTAAAATATATTAACATATTTGAAAAATTCCTAAAAATTTTCACTTTTTTGAACACTTATTTTGTGCTTTGTCTAAGTACTGAAGTCAGTATAAACTATTTTAGTATGTTATTCACGATATATGTTGAAAAACTATTTCTTTTCTTCAATATCTCCTGAAAAAATCTCCCAATCAACGTAAGTTCGAAAGATATTGATGTGCCTGAATGAAAATTATTAATGCTACAAGCGACTAAAGTCGAAACAAGTGAGATTTTCAATCAACTACACAGTTTTAATTGATTCTTTTTTTCATTACAGTAAATTTTAAATTTTTAGTGGATTAGTTTTATGAAAAAAAAATGCAAACTTTAACAGTGAAAAAAATTGGAAAAATGAAGATGCGCAATGATTTTTTTTATGAAAATGTTACTCATACGCCATGTCTACATGTATGCCATTAAAATATGTATGTCGTCTTTCCCCCGCTCCTGAGCAGAGCAAATATATTTTTCATTAAAAAAAAGTTTACAAGCGGTAAGTAGAGAGAATGTAACACCAATAAGGGAAATCTGCTCAGTTTTGCCCAGGGCTAGAACGAAAACTAGAAGTTAGCCAGGAACTTTTGCAATGAATGATACTCAGCTGTCTTGCAGGGTTGCTAGAATATAGGTATCTACATATGTTCATTTGTATGTATGCCCTTAACACATCTATATTGCTATAAATTTATACTCGTATGTACATATAAGTATGTAGTTGTTGTTAAAAGTTGATGGTTTTTTTTTGGTCTGCGTGGCGGAAAGAAGTGTCACAAAGCATTCAAAAATCCAACGACAAGTCAACAGCCCGAAACAATCCTTTAAATTATTGTCCTTGCAAGTGCAAGTGCAGCTATGTATGTGCGGCTCACAAACCAAGATTAAAGCTGCAAGCGAAAGTGTTTGCGTTGGCCTCCAAAAACCAAAGGCCACACGATTTTCAAGTGACATAATGGCTTTCTTAGCTTTCGCTTTTAATGCTGACATGTGGCAAACAAAAATATATGTACATATATAAATACATACGTACATAAGGAGGCATATATGTATGTACATAAAAAATATATTTACATATGTACATATGCATGGGAGCAATTCTCATGTTACACTTACAAAGGTGCTGTTGATTGCTTTCATGGATGCATTTGTTGTATTGACTGTAAAATGGTCTCGCTACGGGATGCATTTTCTTAATACAACAATTCTCTTCATTGTCTTTTGGTTGTTTCAAACGGAATGCATTCTTGTTTTTTTTTTTTTTTGTTTGTGAGAAATTCACTTTACTTTTACAAAGAGTGATTAAAAATATTAAAAGAAGAGTGATATGTAAATTAATGAATTGCCTTTGATATGATGCATATGAAATAAAATATGGCCTCGATAAAGGACAATATGTTTCATGACCTTAAAAGAAGAATGAATTATAAGTACACATGTTTGCAACCATGGCTTTCTAAAAAGTGGGAATATTATTTAGAATTTTACTAGCAAATTCATATAAACGTGTAAAAATGCCACGCTGCAAGAAATGCCAAAAAGTCTAAATAAAATACTGAAAGTTACGAAAAATTTCAAAAGTTAGGCTAGGCTAGGAAGGCGTCTGTGGAATGATCCATGTTTTCACTCGGAGACCTAGTTGTCCATTGGTGGTGCCCCCTTTAAGTGAGTGGCATAAAGAGGCATATTCCCTAGCTAGGTATTCAGGGGGAAATTAGGATACTTTTCATGACATTAATCCTCTCTTCAGCGATTTGACAGCATCCACATATTCGCTGAGATCATAAAATGCTGGGTTGTCAACCTCTCCCTTTGGTAGTATATCTACTTTGGGACTCACATCAAACAGACTTTTCGGTCAAAAATGTCCTTGAACGGAATTTTTCCGAGCAGTTCAAGCCAAACCTAAGTTTTAATCAATAATTCGGGAACCCGAAAAAATTCTCCTACGATCGTTCGCAGACTAGGACGTCAAAGATCGTTGTGAACAAATTTCGACACATTCCTTAATTTTACTATGGGATTCATTGTAGTTAAGTTGAAGCATTTTAGTTTGCCTTGAGCGGCTAGTCACGATTTGGTGGATAAGGGACATATGGGGTTTCCTGCGCGGTATTTGTTGAGTTTGCCGCTGTTGGGATTGGTGCCAACCACAGTTTGGCGGGCGGCAACTACGTCTCTACTGCTGCCGAAGCAGAAAACAGAGTGAGGTAACAATAGCTGCTGGTTAGCGCTCTCACCGAAATTGGAGTGTGTTTATGGTCGACCTTCCTCGCTTTGTTGATAAGGTAAGCTCCATAGAGCTTCTTTTAGGTGGCTGCATCAGTACACTTGTTGCGCCTAACCGCACTGGAGTTCGGGTGGAGTATTCTCTGGCGTACGCGACTGAAGTATGTACATAAGCTGCTGATTGCGAGTTGGGCTGTATGCCAAACCGAATCAGAAGGAAAGAACAACAACAATTGATAGGGTTCGCCGAACAGTGGCAAGAGCCAAGTAATTTCGGTACGTAGAAGCCACCTTTGAGTCACTATAGTAGCATGGTGAAATTATACCAGGTGTAGTAATAAGAGCGAGAAGAAATATTTTACATTTTCTTATTTGAAAATTTACTTTAAAAGTTTCTATAAGATAGCCGAATGTCGAGAAAATACTGCGAGATAGATGTTTTATTACTTCACCTATTTGTAATTTCATCATGACTATAGTACTATGAAACGTGAAATTTCACTTGTTTCAGTTAATGGCCTTTTAGGTTCTAATATTTTACTAACACTTTAACTGGACACTTTTATAGTTTTCGATTATTAATTATATAATGTTCAAAAAAAATATATCTATGAAGTGTACATAGATATAAATTAAAAATGTTATATATATATATATTAGGTCTGCATCACTCTCCATACAACAAAGATCGGTACTAATTTTCCATCGCATTTATGATATCTATTACTTTTTGGGACTTCTGCCAAAATATTTTAGAAAAATATTTCTCAAAACTATTTTTTTTTTTTTTATTCAACAATTTTATTGGGTTTGAGCAGGTTCCTAATGATTCTGCTAGTTCGGAGATCACCACATCCCCTCATCAGGTTTCTTCATCGAGTTTACTGCGAATCTTAATATTTTTCCGAAATATTTTGGTGAAAGTCTCAAAATTAAATAAATTGTATAGTTCTAATTGAAAATAGTACCTTTTTTTGTATGGTTCACACTAATGTACAGTATATGTAAGCACAATTATTATATGCCACATTTATTTCCGCTTCTTTTGTGCAATTGTCGATAATGGTGTTAGTACTCATTTTTAATTAATTTGTTTAATTTTGTCTCTCTTTTTCATATTTTATCCTTTTTGCACTCCCATAAAAAATTTCAAAATTTTCTTTTTTCTTAAAAAAAATCGCACTTAAATCAAAATTTCATTCCAAAAGCAACGTTAATTTCCTATTCCCCTTTCCATGACACCCCCACAGACAGCAAACGAGAATACCAGTATGTCTCCAGCAGACAGCGACAGCATACCAAGTATCGCCAGTCTTGACATGCCAACGAAAGAGACATTGCTCTGCGAACGCGCACAATCAACGCCACCCTACACCCCAAAGAGCCCGAAGCCAAAAAGACGACTACTGCCGTCCGTGAATTTCAAATTGCCAAAAGTTTCAAAAAATCACAAAGCGGACAACCCAATTGGTGGTCAACAAACAACAATCGAAATTGATAGTCCTGCTGGTAACGACAATGAGTTTAGTCCTATGCTAACACCAACAACGCCAGTGACACCCAATGGCGCTGCTGGAACAAGTACTCGGCCGCAAGTCGACTGCGAAGTGCCTTCCGTGCCCATTGAAATCGATAATGTGCCAGTGATACCCTTCCGTACAAAATCTAATCCGCGCCTACAAGTACAGCCCGCCTATATTGATGATGCTCATCGACAATTTTGGAATCCAATCAGTTATTTGGGTGGACCGCATCTACAGCCGCGTGATAGAAATAGCCTCACATCTGTATTATCGCTCGATTAAGCATTGAGCATTGTTTTGGGGAAAATGTACTCTACAATAATTTTCAAAACTATCATGAATGGTGCCAGTGCTGTCAACCCTAGTCCTAGATACACATTTATGTATTATTTGTTATAATAAAAATTACTCGAAAGTAAAATGGCGGTTTTAACTAGGCAAATACTTAATTAATGTTACTCAACATTCCGTGACCAAAGATATACTTTTTTTCTAGAGTATTAAACTTGTTATTAATATTTATGTACATACATATGTAGTTATGAATGAATATTTGATTTACGTAGTGTTTAAAATCTTATTTATTAGTGTAACAAGGAAAAGATGTAAAGGAAACGCCAGCATAAAATGAATGAAATATATAAAAATTTACATACTTTACCTAATCAATGTTGTTTAATGGCCTCAAAGGTAAGTTTCTAAAAAAACGTATGTACTCATGAAATTTTATGTGTAAGCATTTATGTCCCGAAATGGTCCCTGAAAAGTGTTGAGCTAGTCCTAAGCTATGCCTGAACTAGCCCTTAAATGATTCCTAAAAAGTCTTGAACTAGTCCCGAAAAAGTACTGAAACGATCCCGAAAAAGTGTCGGAATTGCCCCAATCATGATCATGTTTTTTTTTGCCCAAGAGGTGACTAATCAGCAGTTTCACAAGTTGTCTGCAGTCCCATCAGCTCAATGAAAGAAAAGGCATCTAGTTAGATTTAGGGCCGGCATGGGTTTGCCCGTCTATACCTCCCAGTTATTGCTGAGCGGGCAGGTGGCATCAGCCCAGTGTTGCTGAAGCAGGGTGGGGGACTCCTACTGCTACACCTTGTGAGTATTATGAGAGAGAGTCTAGTTCTTTCCTAAATTCCGAGGGTGTGGAGAAGTTCGCGAGTAGTCGAACTATTTAGACCTATTAATTTGACCTCATTCTTGCCTAAAAATAATAGAGAAGGTCTTTGATAACAAAATTAATCTAACGCTCTGAAAATGGCCCCAAGCAGCATGCGTTTAGGTTGGAAAAGTCTACGGCCACCGCTCTTTATGCGCTGACTACAGTGATAGAAAGAGCCTTTGAGTATGGATAGACTATGCTATGCGCCTTCCTTGATATCGAGGAGGGCCTTCGATAACAACATCACGCGAAGGGTTTTGGCGGGCACTTGAGAGCCGAATGGTGCAAATGGATTGTATAGAATCGCTGAAATAGAAAATGGGGACAGCATGGTGCAGCTGCAAACATAACAAAACTAAACTAAGAGTCTTCGTGCCAAAGTGGGACCTAGGAGTAATCCCTCTAAGACGGTCAACGTACCCTTCACTAGGAAAATGAATCTTCCAGGTATGAGGAAGATAACCTTAAAGAAGAATGTCTCCGCCTAACTGAAGTAGCTGGGTATAATCCTAGATTCTAAGCTTCTGTGGGGATCTTCCGTCGGCGCGACCACATCAAAGGGTACGAGTGCACTATTGGTGTGCAGGCCAGTTTTCGGGGTGCAGCTCAAAGATTCTTAGTGCGACCAGTAGTGACCTATGGGGCGGTACCTTGGGCATCAATTACTGTCTTGACCACGTTGAGACAGTTTCTCATTAAACTGCAAATCCCAAAGGTGGGAGTGCTATAACTGATGGTTGCAGACCATGGAGTACTTGGTCGGAGCCCTTACCAGCCAAATAATTGTCAGCTATTTCATTACCAGCTCCCAACTTTCAGAAATGTAGAGAAGGAGGCCCAATCTCAAGCGATTCCCAAACTCATATGAATAATGCCATACCATGTTCCGTCTACTTGGCAAAGCGTTGAATTAGTGTTCATTCCTAAGGTAGGCAATACATACGCAGCCTATGAACTTCAAGTAGACTAGTCTTGTATACTGAAAACTTTCGACAGACTTCTGAACATGCACTTTCATTCAAAATTGGTCAACGTAGGAATGTCTATCGCACAGCATGCTCACCTAAAACGGAGCTCTACAGAAACTGCGTACATGGGGTAGAATTCTATCTGGAAAATAAACCATATGCATTGACGGTTTTCTTGGACATAGAAGAGCATTCATGGAACGATCAGGCATCAGCACTACTATTTTCTATGATAACTAGGCGGCGGTTAAGGCACTTGGCCCGATAATACAGATAGTACTTTCCGGCTTTAGCTGATAGCCATGTCATTGCAGTGATCTGGGTGCAGGAGCACAGTAGCAATCGTGGCAAAGATATGGCCGTCAGTCTCGAGTTATGTAGACTCCAGACCTGTGAATACCGTCCTAGGCGCACAACCACCGGACACCGACGAGACGGAGCTTCATATGCCTCGGGAGACTAAAACCACAATAGCCCAGGATAAAATCATAGTTGAGCAGATTAGACGCAGATGCTGCAAATGAGTGTCCCGCATGCGGAGAGACACCCCACGACTCGAAATATCTCTTCGTATGCCCGGAAAACCCGACACTGCTAACGCCTTGACCCTTTGGCCGACCCCATTGAGGTTATTTGAGCTTGACGACGACTGAGATATTAACCGATCTGGGCGGGGTTGTTGTAGCCACTACAACAACAACAGTGCTACTGAGGGGTGAACGAGGCGCAAAAGCCTTATCCAAGCTGAAAAAAAGAGCTGCCCTTTTATTAACAGTCGCCTCATCAATGTTCTGCGTCGAATTCTAGGTGGCGGAACTAGCGAGTTCTGAAGCTTTCCACTAGAATAGAAGACATACTCGAAAAGCTGATACCCCTTGCATTGCACTTGCTACTGCGACGATTTTTTCATCACAAGACCAAACCAGTATTGCGGATGTCGCAGCTACCAAGTCTTGACAGCAGCACGAGCACAAGTTTGCTGAAAGTTTTTGTCAGTCCGTATACGCGTTGCTTAAACTCAAGGTTGGAACCAGAGTGGCCGTGGCGTGAGGTTATTCTGCGCCGCCCATGCCTTCGCTTCATTGACACAATAGTGAAATCGATCTTATTTGCAGCCGGCAGATTTCGACAGTGATGGGAGAAAATACTCCCACTTTTACATTTCCCACCAACCGATTTGGCTGCTCCTGCATGAATCTAAAGCTTACTCACCAGCATTTTAAAACAATAACAAGAAAAGCTAGCGGCTTATGGTTAGCTATCCACTTACAAAACACACGCATTTTATTACATCTTTCTTTCATTTAGACTACAGAAAATAAAAAAGTTACAAGCATAGTCCATTCTTCCATTAAGAAATTTAATTTTACATTCCTATATTAATTTAATGTGACAAGGATGACATCATGTATTTATGTGAGTATAGCAGTAACTACATATAAATATATACGTACATACATACATCTACGGTATGAATGCGCGTAAAATATTATCTTTATTTAAGTATGATTTCAAAGATCGTACTAAATTCACAAATAATACAAACGTCGCAGTTAATGATGCTGTTAAAAAAAAAAAAGCATGTAACAAATTCTTTCGCGCATAGCCTAAATAATTATAACTATTAAAAGTACGTTTTTGACGGCAGCGTATTATATATTTTCAATTCCACTTTCCCGGAGCAACACACTCCCTCTATGTCGAGCACGTTACTACCGTCACACTTCGTAAGGATAAATGGAAGAAATCACTAAAGATGCTAAAATATTTTAGGTTTAAATTTCGTGGAACGTTGTATTGGTTTCTATAACCAATTGCGACCGCCACGTCATATGTTGTTCTCTTTTTTTGCGTCTTCGCTTTTACCAGTTTCCTCACTTTCATTTGTATCCACTATAAAATAAGTGCATGTTATAAATTTTGAAAATTTTGCGTTATTTAAATCGAATCCTTACTCTTCTCTTTGTCGTCCTTATTATCGGCATTTTCTGTAACTGTTTTGCTCTCTTTTTCCAAACGTGGTCGCTTGCGTTGACCTTTGTAAGATCGATTGTCGCGGCGGCCACCATCGCCTTCATCCTCTGAATCTGAGAATTCGTTATCAGGATCAATTCGTTTATCTTTATCGCTTTGTGGTATTCTTTCGTCTTTGTTGAGCTTATCTTCATCCTCGGATTCATCATTGATAGCATCTTCCGGTATGGCTTGAATTTGTACACCGGGAGCATGTGGCAGCATACGCAAGTTTTCGAAAAGTCTAGAAATATTTAAATGCGCATTAGAAAATTTCTACTTGGCCACCAATAAACATTTCTATTACCTATTTTTGATCTTTTCCAAATACTCTGAAGTGTTTTGATTAGTCATATTACTCGGGCTGATGTGCAACTTAAAATCAGGACCGAAATATTCAAAGTAATCATTGTACGGCAGTTCGTTTGCAATTTCTACGCCGAGCGCAACTGACGTTTCATATGTCCAACATCTAGACACATTACGAATCGTATATCCACCACCTCCAACCATTAAGAAGGGCAAGCTGTATTTCTTTACGAATTCTACACATTTTCCATGACCCTTGACAGTCAAATTAAAGCACCCAAGGCGATCACCTGTCAATGAATCTGCACCACACTGGAGCACAACCGCTGCAGGTTGGAACGTCTCCATCACCTTTGAAATGATTGGTACAAATATGGATTCGTATGCTTCATCGTCCATGCCATCACGTAGTGGTATATTCACAGCATAGTATTTGCCTTTGCCAGCGCCGATATCACGCAAGTCACCTGTGCCGGGGAAATACTCGCCGTATTTATGGAAGCTTACGGTCATGACGCGATCGGTAGTGTAAAACGCCTCCTCAACACCGTCACCGTGATGCACGTCTATATCGATATATAACACGCGCTGGTGATATTTCAGGAGTTCCAAAATGCCAAGTACAATATCATTGACATAACAGAACCCCGAAGCTTCAGATTTCTTAGCATGATGCAAGCCACCACCCCAATTTATGCAAATCTCGGAAGCTTGTTTATTTAGTTTGACAGCAGCGGCTACAGAACCCCCAGCGGATAACTGACAAAACTCATAGAGACCATCAAAAACTGGGCAATCCTCGCCGACATTGAATCGCTGCATTTGCTTGTTATATTCTGACATATTGTCCGGACGTATGGAGCGCAAAAAGCGTACGTACTCATCCGAATGGAACTTTGTCATTTCGTCGGCAGTGGCTTTGTGTGGTCGCTGTTATATAAAAAAACAAATAAATTAATTTGAAGTTTAAAGAATAAAATGAAAAACTAACATAAATTTCCATTTTGCGGTATAGACCGTAATTTAAAAGCAAATTATGGGTCATACGTATGCGATGAGGCTTCATTGGATGGCCCTGACCATAGTAGTAATTACCAATATCACCTAGAAGTAAGAAAAACAACATGGATAAGTATTATAGCAAAGAAATAAA